CCAAACTAGAGGATTACTCGTTTGGGAATGTTCGATCCAATGTTGATCAATCGCTATATTGTTGTTGTCTTAACCGACTACAGTTAAGTGTCTGAATCGTTTGCCTTAAACTAGTGACAGTTTAAGTGTCTGATTGCCTTATCTGACTACAGTTAAGTGTCCGAAATCAATTGCCTTAAACTAATGATAGTTTAAGTGTCTGATCAATAATTTCCCTAAAAGAATCTGGTTATGGAAATTATGATTTGGTCTTAGACTAAGAATAGCTAAGAGCATTATTATGATCTAGCCTTAGACTAAGAATAGCTAAGAGCGTTGTTATAATCTGGCCTTAGATTAGGAATAATTTAAGAGCACTATTGAAATAGTATCTGAATTCAATAAAATGTGTTGATATGAACTAAACAATACCAAAAACTATGAATGTCTGAAATGAACATTGTGTGCATGATATGAAATGAATTGATTATGAATTTAGATTCAGTTTATATGGATGTTCGACGCATTAGATATGCTTACTCAGCTTTATTGCTGAGCGTGTAATGTGTTTTATTTGCTACACGCAGGTAAACAGAAAGCATAATGTGATCCTGGCGGCAGATGGGCCGAGATTGTCGGGATGGATGTGACAAGTTTGAAATGATTTATGATATCTCAATATTAAATTTGCTTCCGCAATATTGTTGAATACTCCGTACTGTATATGTTATGAAAAATATTACTCAGATTAATAAAGTGTGTTTGAAAAGTTTTAAATTTTTACGATTACCAAGTTAAATACTTTAGTCCGAATGGGGCTGCAGACATGGACGGATTAAGGTGTTACAGTATCTAATGGAAACTCCATTTACTACAAGCCACATTTCAGAACCTTTTTATCCTTCCACATTAGCCTCCCTAACCATCAACTGCCATAACATGGCTGGAGGGGGAACTAATTGGACATCAAGGAAAGCACCAAAAGGAGAATCTCTCCTAAACACTTCTAGGATTTCCATATGATCGCACAACTTTTCTTTCATCAATTTTTGGAAGTTATGCAGTGAAGACTTCACAGTCAGCTTCATATGTGGAAAGTCCTTTGAATTTACCTTCGTCTTTATCGCCGGAACCTATATAACGGCATACAATGTCAACGAATAGCATCGGAATGACATGCAATTAGTGCGACCAGTTGGTCGACACTTATTTTAGTCGATTGATGGAGTCGACCAGACTAAAAATTCATAAACCATTGTCTAGTGGTTATTTGGAGAGAGAATAATTCATTTATAATCAAGTTTCTGACCTCGAATGTTCCTTGTGTGGCCTTTGGGCTAACGCTGTGCTCTGTCATCGTCTCTTCCGCATGATACTCATCGTTTCCATTCTTGGAGTATGACACAGAAGCATTCTTCGTCCTCATTGTAGAAATTCAAAGTTTTCCGAGATCGGTGACTTTGGATGGGTAGGGTTTCGATCAACTTTTGCAGGTGTCGAAGAGGGGGGATAGAGCACACACAGATCGAAAACTCAATGGTCGCACGATGAAGAAAGATGTTTATGGAGGGTTTTTGTTTAGTCTCTTCCGACGTCGTTTCGCCCATTCTCGGATTTTTTTATTTAAATTTAAACTTGAAACGCCGTTTACGCTTCGTTAAATGGCATAACTTTTCTTTTTCTAAGAAGCGCGTCGGTCATACACGCCTGGGCATTTCCGTCAATTCACCTTTACATGGTAGTCCACCAAATACGAAACATTTACAGGGCATTTTGATAAAAACTTCTGTTTTATGTTTGTACTCTCTCATCGCACAAAGAACTTAGGGCCTGTTATGTGACAAAAACAAATATGGAATTTGATATATGAGATATCAAATTTTCGAAAATTATGTTTGGTGAAGATAAAAAGGAATCCCATTGATATATCCAGATATGTTCCATATCTCCAAAAGTGTCGCATCTTCAAATTGGCATGTCTTAGCCGATTTCGAATTTGTTAAAACGGCGTCTCCTATTTCATTAGCTGGCGTCATTTTATTCTTTTGATGCATTTTTGTTTTGGTTTTGGTTTACTATTTTTTTATCTTTAAAAAAGGCGATTTTAAATGTTTCTCTCTTAAACAAATTTTATTCATTCACTTTTTACAAGATCTAAGATTTCGTTACATAAATATATATAATTATGCTCACAAAAATTAATAATGCATAATCAGGAAAACATTAAAATTTCATTAAAAAATATACAGATAAAACCTTATTCTTCATTTTTAACCAATACAATATATCTGTATTAAAATATTATAGTATTCAATAGTTATATTTCGTATTTGATTTTTTAATTGCTCACCAAATAGTTGTGGATGTGATTTGATTTCATTTATGGGTTCTCCAAACACTTTGATTCCAAATTTCAAAATTCATATCATTAGTTACTCTCAGATTTTAAAAATTATATCTTATTATATCTCCAAAACTCACCAAACCATCCCTTAACATTTTTCTGAATTAGATATCCCCAAAACAAAGCTTTCCCATTTTACATTTTTTGTTTAAAGAAAAGAAACATGCAACCTACAACATTCTCTTTTACTAATCTTCTAATATATAAAGCTAAAGTGAAAACATGAATAGTGCTAACTTCCCGCCTAAAGTTCTCGGGCACGATTTGGGCATTGAATTCGGGCATCAGATTGGGCAAAGAAGAAAATTGATTCAATTGGGAAAAAGGGTTTTTTGTTGGGCTAATGGGTCTTTGGTACCCGTGAAGGCATTTAAAGCATGTGCTCGGACATGTTTTTTGATGGCATGTGCTGGGGACATGTATTTTTACTTCAACCAATATACTTTATTTCTCACACACCCCAATTTAAAATCATCATTGTTTTCTCCCCACAATGCATGTCCAAATTTAATGTTTATAAATAACCCTTGCCCAATACCTTCAATTCATTTCCCTCCCATTAGAGCTTTTGAAAATTTCATCTTTCCAAAATGGCTCCCAAACATGTTTTCCCTGGTCTCTTTACCAATCTTCGTGAGCTCGAAAAGGACCGCAACAACATTGCTATCCACGTACGAGCTATTTGTGTATATTACGTTCAGCCTTTTGGAAGAAATGTTGAATCGATGCAGGTTATCTTTCATGACGGTGAGGTATGTAAATTTTGTTTTAATGCTGATGATTCAAGTTATTTTTTAAGGTGTTCAAATTAAAGTTGAACACTCAAACAAGAAAATGTTTACAAATGATTTTTTTGAATGATTCAAATGGATCTGCCAATTCGGGAAGCTAAGGTAACTTTACGGAGTTTTGTGTTATTAATTATCCTTCATTGGAGATTTTGTAATGACAACTCTGCTTCGGTATTCTAAAAGCATATTACTTTATAAATCAACAATCACCATCCTCGGAAATCTAACTATATACAAAGCTAGGATGATTTTTTGAATAATGTTCCCGCCTAATTCATGGACTATCCAATTGGGTTTGGGCCTGCAGGAATTGGGCCTAATTGATGGGTAGTGTATCGATATGGAACCGCGTGCATTGTAAAGTTTGTGCGTGACTCGATGCAAACTTTTTATCAAATCAAAATAAATAAACGGGTAGTATATTGATATGGATCCGCGTGCGTAGTAATGTTGGTGCATGACTCGATGCAAACTTTCTGTCAAATCAAAATAAATAAATGGGTAATGTATTGTTATGGAACCGCGTGCATAGTAAAGTTGGTGCATGACTCGATGCCAATTTTATGTCAAATCAAAATAAATAAATGGGTAGTGTATTGATATGGAACCGCGTGCGTAGTAATATTGGTGCATGGCTCGATGCAAACTTTATGTAAAATTAAAATAAATAAATGAGTATTGTTTTGCTATGGAACCGCATGCGTAGTAAAGTTGGTGCGTGTCTCCATGCAAACTTTATGTCAAATCAAAATAAATAAATGGGTAGTTTATTGATATAGAACCGCGTGCATAGTAATGTTTGTGCGTGGTTCGATGCAAACTTAATGTCAAATCAAGATAAATAAATGGGTAGTGTATTGTTATGAAACCGCATGCGTAGTAAAATTGGTGTGTGGCTTCATGCATACTTTATGTCAAATCATATTAAATAAATAGATTTACGAAATCATGACATTTAATGGGTATATTGATTGTCCAATTAATATACACTTATACTCCAAACATTTCATAACTCTCATCCCAATTTGGTTCACTTTCGAAAAATGTCTCAAAACATTCAAAAAAATATGTGGAATGTGCTTGCCGAGATTGACAATAGTCGAACCACTTGGATGCTTATATTACGAGTCGTTCGTGTCTACTTTGTTCCGGCTTGGACAAGAGGAAGAGATTCGATGAAAGTGATCTTTCATGATGAACATGTATTGTATTCACAATTTTTTAATATTTAATTATATGTTATTATAATTTAATTATAATTTAATTTTATCATTTTCTTTCATCAATGCTTTTCCTAATTATATTATTTATAATTACACCGTGCAACACACAAGTACGAGTCTAATTAAATTTCAACGATATGTATTTTAAAATATTTAACTTTTGAACTTCATAAAGTCAAAGAGTGAACTTCTTTGGAGGAGAGTATCTGTTTTATTTGTTTGAAAAAAATAAAAAAACGAAGATGTTTGACAATTTAGCAAGCCTAAATCAGTCATTTCAATATAGTTTTCCATGTCCTATGTACACCATAGATTACACCGTGGTATACACCAAAACAATTTTCACCAAAATGGTAATACACCAAGACAATTTTCACCTAAAAGTTTTGTCGGTGTCACCAATTCTCACCAACTCAATAATGGGATCCCCTCCCTCATTAATGCATTTTAAATTCTGAGTACTTCCCCATACCGTGTTGTTAATCTTGTTACTTTCTTCAAAAACCGATCTCAAACCACACAAATGAAAAGCAAATTTAATGAAATCCCATTGTTGTCCAAATGAGATAATAGTAAAACAGGAACGCAAGAAACAACGCAAACTTAGTGCGTCCATAACAAGAAGGGCTAAACATGCGCCCAAAAAAACAAATTAGACTTAAAAAGTTCTAAGCCTTAATGGTGACACTACACAGGCACGTACCAGACAGCTTTATTTCGCAGGTTTTCCACTCCGAGCCCGGCGCTGCATTGGGGTCATACAACAGTGTGGCATCATAACCCGAATCCTCCCGTGTACCCGAAAACAGCAACAACTTCTCATCCAATACCCCAAATCTAAACCCGACAGTCGAACTCCCGGTCACGGGAACCGTGACCATCTTCCACGAGTTGTCCTCCGGGTTGAATATGGCTAGTTTGCGCTGGTTCTTCCACTCTATGCAAAACAGCTTCTTCCCTAGCACCGCATGAGTGGTGACCATAACACAGCCATTCTTCATCTCACACCACGCATGCCTCTCCGGGTTGTACACATCAACAAACCTCGAGTTTCCTATTGTAAAACTCGAACGGCCTCCCATTACGTACAGCTTCCCATCAAATCCGTAGGCGAAACAGCCCCACCTTGGGCGACGGAGAGACTCGATCACTGTCCATTTGTTGGTGTCGGGGTCGTACATCTCGGCGCAAGAGAGAGATTCCCCGTCCGTGCCATACCCTCCAACTGCATACACCATCCCATTCACCTCAGCACAAGCAAAGTCGTAGCGTGCCACATTCATGGTAGCTAACTTGCTCCAACTGTCCAATACACAATTAGTATTAAACAGAATCATAAGATATTCAATTCAAACAATAATACCATTGACTCACATCTCCAAGCAAAGAGGATGAGAGAAACTGATGGAAAGGAACCATTGGGAGTCACTCCATAAAAACTACTCCCTCCGTCCCAATTTCTAATATCTATTTCGGTTTATGACGTTTGACTGAAGTTATTTTTAATTTAATTTATTAGAAGATTGGGGTGGAATTAAAAAATTAAAATTACACATTCAAAAACTACATCAAAAGTTCTTCGAAACAAGAGGTGGCATGACTATGTTATTTTATCAAACAAGTAGCAAAAATAGTTAAAGAAAGTGAATAGAGTTTGACCCTGTGAGTTGTAAGCATGCACTATAATTTGGGATGCAGGGAGTAAGACGGATAAATCATAAATGAAGTAAAACTAACCTATTCAAGCATGAACCATACTGAAAGACATCTGGTGAAGCAGAACCAGGTCCATCAACCATGGAATATCCACCTATGACAAGCAAGTTTCCATTGAGAACAGCCACACCAAACCCAGCTTTGATAGGAACTGGCATCTGTGGGAGCTGACGGTGTTTATTCCCCAAACAATCCAATACCTCCCAGTAACTTTCCTTTCCATCAGCATCCGCGGTTAAAACATAAAGCCACTCCTGAAGCAACCCGGCTAGCTTTCGTACCAGGATGAACTCTTTGCTTCTGATAAACGATCTCCACTTCTTGTTGACGCCACTCATAGCAGGGAAATAAGATCGGGGAACAAGAGCAAGGATGCATTTTGCCACATCATCAGGCAAACCAGGCAAGATGGGAGAGTAGGAACCATTAGCAAAGAAAGAAGTAATACAAGAACTTTTTTCCAAAAAACGCACCTTAGATTCTGTGACTCTCATTTTCCCACAATTAGCACCAGTCATTTTTCTTTTTGTTATTTATTTATTTATTTTTTGAAATCACAATGACAGATTGAACTCAATATGTAACTTAATATCGACAAGCTTTTGACTAGAGAAACTCATGATATCCTTCACTTAAGGAAATTCTAGAAGACCAATGCATAAAAGCTGTTGCAAAATGAATAGCTTGAGCTGTGAAGGCTGACAACTTTTGATGCTTTGTCCAACAGGATTCAAATTCCATGCCACTTTTTCTGATCATGCGAATGTTCTGCTGGCTTCTTTTACCTATGGTGCTACTACTCTCCACGTCCCTTGAATTTCTTTCACCCCCAAGAATTGCCCGAATAACTATGCACAAGAAAAGGAGTTTTAAATTCATCTCTTAAGATAAATACGAGTAGAGAGTATAAGTTTTTGGACTTCATAGATCAGTAGAAAATAATGGAAGCAAATGAATCACCTGCCAAGGCCATAGGACAACGGTTTTATCCTGCTGTTACTTCCATCATTAGTGGTTCAAAGGACTGCATAGCAGGATGCAAACTTTATTTCTATGCTAAAAAAATGAACACCCTTGGCATGGAAGATTGAACTTAAAACTCTTGACCCAGGATTGCCCAACCTTCAGAACATGATACACATGCTTTAAATTAATGGCCTAATATATGCCCCTTCACCCCATAAAAAGAATCATGTTTCTCAACTTGTTTTTGTCCCCATGAAATGAGTATAATTTAAACAAGAGAGACTTATTTTCATCATATCTTATGTTCTTATAAGCAAAAAAGTGTCCCGAACAAATTGATGGCTTTAAAGTTTGTTAAAGCAACAAATATGTTTATAAACATAGCTATACTCGATGATTTCCAATACTGGTACATTTACAGCATGTAGATTTTAAAACTTTGTGAAACAGGACTCTTTTGTGGGATGTAGGGAGTAATAATAAAGGAACCACATGCTTCATGAATCGTGATGGTCTAATCACAGCAGTTATAACCCCAAAAAGTAGGTATCATCACCAAATATTACTGGCTTTATTATCTTAACTGAAATTGAAAGCTCAGAATATCCATACAAGTGCAGATCTTGAAAGGTTCAACAAACTCTAAAGAATTGAAACATCAACTTCACCCACCACTCCACCAGACTGCCACCCACGAAAATCCAAAATGCAATCCCAGAGATAAAAGTATGGATAAGAATTACAAAATGAAACTGAAAACTAAAAACTCAAATCGAATTCAAGAGTTAAATTTTGCACTTGGTATTTGCTATCACTTCAGCAGAAGGTTCTCAGTATGATTCATGCTTGACTAGGCTACTTAAATAAATCTAACTACCAAAAGAGAGAGATGTAAAAACAAAACATTTATCCCTCAGATCTGACATCAATATGAGCTCAAGCAAGTATAAACGAATCTCACCCAAACATAATCTAAGAACAATGAAATATTACTAAACAACTGAAGTGAATAGCAAACCCCGAGCAGGAAGATGCTAGAAAGTAGAAACTATTATCAAACAATAATTACAGATCTGCTACTTCACAAAACAACATGATTTTTCCATTAAAAATCAAATATCTCAATAAAATTCACGCAACACATTTCGAGGAGGGGAGATGAGTTCAAAATGTTGACGGGCTTATCTTTATCCACATAAATCTAAAGAACAAGCACCAGAGACGGATAATTAGGGCAATTCCGTGAACAAAAACAGATAAAAAAAACACTTAAACGTGTTAAAATTACTTGAAAATGATAATGCTTTGACGAATGCCGGGGGAGAATCGAGTTTTGCGGTGAATGAGGTAAGTATGAATGGGAAAGAATGGAATCGATAGTGAGCGGATAGACACTCCGTAATGGTGAGATTTGAGAGGCTCGTGGTAATGAAAGAATTTGCCAATTTGGAGTACTGGTGGACACTATACTGTTCCGGAACAGCCAGTACCGGTACCGCCACCCCTTGGTACCAGTACCGTGACCGGACCGGGCGATACTGGTTTTGGTACCCGGACCGGCGGTTCCGGTACCGGACCGGCCGGTTTCGGCAACCCTCAATATTTTTTTTGTTTTTTTTTAAAATTTTTAAAGTGTAAAATTATAAATATGCAATTTTTAAAGAAAAGAATGAAATAACAAATCTAAAAATGTAGTTGTTATTTAAATATTGTAAAATGAGTAATACATGAACTGAAGAACGACTACATTTAATATCCTGACGGTTCAAAAAAAGCGATGAGGTAAAGAACCATAAAGAAACCCTCGAAGGAGCTTATATATCGTTTACCTAAAAAAACTAATTAAATATTTACATATCTACATTAACATAAAAAAATTTTATAACTTATTCCTCAGAACTCGGACTTCCATCTGTGGTTGCATTCATGTAATGATCGGAATTGAATTCGTACCCTGACTCTTGAGCTCGACGTCTTGCCAAGAGCCAATCTCGGTTGCAAACAAGTGTTTCAAGAGATTCAGCGCTAAGAGAACTTCGGAAGTCGGTTAGAATGTAGCCGCCAGCACTGAATTCTTGTTCCACTGCTACGGTTGATACCGGGACGGACAACACTTGTCTTGCTAGCATTCCGAGACATGGGAACATGTGTTTGTTCCGCTTCCACCATCCGAGGACGTCAAACTCCACGTCGTCGTCATAATCGCATGGCACCCCTTGGTACATAGCAAGTTCGTTCTGCGAGCTTACTGTTGTACCACTCGAACTCGTCGAAGGCTAAGCACGCTTCCCTTTCTTTGCAAGAAGCTCACCGACTATTCCTTTAAAACCTTTTTTTGATTTGGGGGGCGGACGAGGTGCTGTTTCTTCTGGTACATTACCGTATAACCCTTGATATTCCTTAAATAAAGCCTCAAAAAAAGTTATAACATTATCTCTTTCTTTTTCCCATTCTATTAAATAGTTGTAGTAATAATTATTTTCATCTAAAAAACAACTGTAGTAATAGTCAATTAGAATTTTATAATTTTCAATCTTAAAGCGTGGATCACAAATAATACCTATTTTATAAATATCAGGAATGTACAAATAATAAGCACACCATTTATCTTTCATAGGAGAGACATAAGGGTACAAATCTGGATCAGCCACACTCTCAAGAAAACATGTTGCGATTGTAACGCACTCTTTAAAAAATGTATTTGTAGTTGGTTGGTAAACATGCGAAAAAGTAAGAGTTGCGTTATTAAAAACTTCTAATACGGCATTCAATTTTTCAACAATAAAAAATTCAATAGGTGAAATCATTAAAAGAAGTTCAGCCCTAAAAAATTAAGCAAATTCCTCTTTGTAGCTTAGAATATGTGCTATCAACTTGTATGTACTATTCCATCTAATGTTGATATCTTTGGCAAATATTATTGTTTTTCTACCCTTAGACTTACAAAATTTCTTCCAAGAATTCGAAATAAGACGACTACCCCAAATCCTTCTAATTCCATTTTTAATATTCGTCAAACCCCCCACCCCCCATAGCTCCTAATCCCTGTTGAACACATAAATTTAAAACATGAGAGGCACAACGTTGATGCAAAAATCTACCTATACTCGTAGTAGGGGGGCAAATTTCTTTAAGACTAGGAATAGCAGCAGTATTATTAGTAGCATTATCAAAACCAAATGCAAACACTTTATCAACTAAGTTATATTCCCGCAGAATACGCTGAAACAATAGAAAAATATTTTCAGCAGTATGAGAATTATTGAAATCACAAAATGCAAGAACACATTTATTCATAATTCAATCACTATCTATCCAATGACAAGTAACACCCATATAAGACAAATTATGATATGTTTCACCCCAAATATCAGATCAAATAGTAACACGAGAATTAAAATTGAGAAAAAAAAATTGCCAAATTTGTTTTTTCAAGTTTATACTGTCGAATAATTTCTCGTTTAATTGTTTTTCTTGAAAAACCTCTTGCTTGAGGGTTTAATGCATGTTGACAATAATCAATAAATCCAAGTTTTTCAGAAGACATGTATGACGAATTTTCTTCACAAATCATTTTGGCCATTTTTTTCTTATTTTGCTCGTCGTTATAAGCAAAAAGGTCGCCCTTACCCCTGTTAGCAAACCGAGAAATTTGGGTTTGCACCTCTTGTCGTCCCTTTTTTTCGCCGCGTATTTTGCATACTCTACGGGATGCCTCGACCTTAGGTGTTTTTCCGGACCACCATAACCGCCCGAAACTCCCATTTTAATGACGGTGGCAGAATAATTACAAGTTCCATAAACTATGCCATCTTTTGTTTCTTTTGAAAAATGATAAACAAATAAATCCGATTTTAATTTTTTTTAACTTTGTCCGGACTTTGAGAGGTCTCGGGCTCACCTGCCTCCTCGTCGACGTCGGTAGGATTGTTGGTGTGCGGTGTAGGCTCCCCGTCCATTCCTGCTTCATCAATGTCCTCGAATAAACTTTCAAGAGTTTCGAGATTCGCGTCGCCTCTACCTTACATGTAATGCTCAAATTCTTGATCCGTCAAAGCGTCACCCACGAATTGATCGAGAATACAAGAAAAGGAAGAGACAGAGTGTCTTCTTTGAGAACCGCGTGAGGTCGAACCGTCGAAGGTGGCTTTAGCTTTGTTTTTCCTCGAACTTCGGTTCACGGTGCCCATATCCACGGACCTTCTACCGGACTCTCTTGACATTTTAATATATATTTTTTTGATAAAAAAAGACTATATTAAAATATTTATAATATTAATTATATATTGAATTTCGAAAATTTCGAAATTATAATATTAGTAAATAATAATATATGATAATTGATAATACTAGACTCGTACCCGTGCGATGCACGGGCTATTAATTGACACATAAGTACTTCATGTTTTGAATCAGAAAAAATCTTACAAAAATCTAAAGGATTACATAAATAAGTAGATATGAAAAGTGAGGGAGGTTTGGGAGTGTTATAAGTTTTGGAACACTTCTTTATAAACTACATTCGTAGTTTGGTTACACGTAGAAAGGTCTTTATTGCAAATTAAGATCTTCAACCCTTGACGACTTGTGACACGTGAAACTGCCACATAAAGTTGACCATGACTGAATACAGATTTCTTCAATAACAATCCGACATGCGGCAAAGATTGGCCTTGACTTTTGTTAATTGTCATCGCATATGAAGTCATGATTGGGAATTGTTTCCTTTGAAACCTAAAAGGAATCCTTGCATCAGACGATGTGAGCGACAATCGTGGGATAACAACTTCTTGACCTACATTTTTTCCCGTCATGACTGTGTCTTGGATAAGATGATTGCCAAGTCGAGTTACTATCAACCTTGTTCCATTGCATAGGCCTGTCGATTGGTCAATATTCCTTAATAACATGATGGGTGTCCCAACCTTCAACTTTAGTTCATGATTTGGGACACCAGAAGCTCGTATGTTGTTCATAAATTCAGGAGAGTGTAAGTGAGACAAAAAATCTGCATTTGAATCAGACTTACACACTGAATCAGAGCTAAAATAGCTCTTCGCTTCCCCCACGTTGTTCAATGATGTCATGTAGTCATTGATTTCATCCACAACGTCTAGAGTTGGAGCAAGGATTGCGCAATTTTGCATATATGTGGGATCATTTGCGATATTGTGGAAGTCAGGATAAGTGGAATGAACAATACTTGCTATTGGATATTCTATGGTTTTTATCAACATATCTTCAGGAATAATGATCTCACTCGATCCATCGTTCTCCTCTCCGGCAATACCATCCCCAATGCTTGATATCCACTTTGCAAATTCTGACATGCTTTCATAATTGTTATCGTGAGACATGTGTTGCAAGCGCATGTTTTCTGTCAAACGCAACACCGTGCAATAGTTCCACAAATATGAAGAGTTAATGGCAGCATTGACAATGTCTTGTCTTCTTCCTTTGTGAATGACAGTCAGAATTTGCCGAAAATCACCTCCAAAGACAATGGTTTTCCCTTCAAATGGCCGCTCATCATTTGATGGATTAACAACAGACATCACATCGCATAGACTTCTATCGACACCTTCAAAACAATATTTGTGGGTCATCGGGGCTTCGTCCCAAATTATTAGTTTTGTCCTAACTAATAAATCAGCCAAAGGAGTACCTTGTTTTATGTTACATGTGGAATTTTCATGTGGATTGATTGAAATTCCAAATCGAGAGTGGGCAGTTCTTCCACCAGGTAACAGTAATGAAGCAATACCACTGGATGCAACATTTAACACAATTTCTCCTTTCCCTCATCCGACTCGACGGAAGTCATTACACTTTCATAAGCTATAAGTTGTTCCGTATTCAACTGGCCCAAACATTTTTGGTGTTCAGCGCTCAGTTCAACGCGGTCATATTGTAGTTTGTCTAGAATGAGTGTTTTGCGGGTCGTTGAGCAATTGTCTATAATAGGAAAAGGCATATCAATGAAATCTTAGAGACTTCTAGCACGCATTCTAAGCAACATCTCAATCTCAATCAAGATGTTATTTTTGATCTGATCCTCGCTTAACATCAAACCTACAGATTAAATGGGAAAATTATATTCGTTGGAAATTAATATATATTTATACAAATTGTAGTCATAGTTAAATACTACCTTCATAATATAATTGTTCAGCTGCCTTTTCCTTGCCCAGGCATGGAACATTTTAGAGTTTGTATCCCCCTCTGTTAGCCATTCTTGTTTTATCTGTTGACATTTGAGTTGGTAAGAAGCCTTAATGGTGATATTGAGCTGTTGTATCAACTCCCTTTCTTCATTAATCAAGGATTGGTTTATGTGTTCCAGTTTTAGCCATTCTTGAATTGCCATCAGTTTCTCCCTCGCCTCATCCACTTTCTGATGAATCTTTCTAAATCTGTCCTTGTGTAGTTTTTTAAGGGGTACTTTAAGATTTTTGAGGTTCTACACTAGTTGATACATACTCCTTTGTTGGGGGTCCTGTTTCCAATTGTCTTGTACTATTTTGGAAAACCTTGGGTCTGCCATCCACATGTTGCAAAATCTAAAGACCTTTGCCCTCTTATTAGAATTGCATTCTTTAATCAAGAGGGGGGTGTGATCTGAAACACCTTCTTCGAGTACTTTGGTTTTCACATTATGTTGGTTCATCCAATCAATATTAACTAATGCCCTGTCCAGTTTAGAATAAATCATATGGCCCTCACCTTGCTTATTTGACCAAGTGAAGTGTGACCCTTCATGAGGTAGTTCCTCCATGCCACACTCCATAACACATTCTTTAAAGTCCTTCATATCCTCTTCTAGCACTAGATTACCTCCCAATCTGTCCTCCATATGCAAAACACAATTAAAATCACCTATACAACACCAGGGCCCATCCATAACCCTAGCATACTCCCTCAGTTTATCCCATAACTGTTTCCTCCTGCCTGGGTCATTAAAGGCATAGATTATAGTAATGTAATCATAATTACTACTATCTATGTTTCTGACTTTAAGGTGGACTGTTTGTGCTGAACTATCCAGAATCTGAACCACCATTTTGTTACCATTCCAGATTACCCAAATCTGAACGACCATTTTGTTACCATTCCTAAGGTGGACTGTTTGTGCTGAACTATCCAGAATCTGAACCACCATTTTGTTACCATTCCAGATTACCCAAATCCTTCCTAAAGGGTGGAGAAACTATTCCATTGAGTGAGCAGTTTCTTCTTCACCTCTTTTTCCTTATGAACATCCAGAATGAGAATGGCAATGAAGTGGAAGGAACTGATGGAGTGGCTGATGTCTTGGTGAGGTACTATAACAAAATGTTGGGTACCACATCCCAAACACAAGAGATTGATAGTAATATCATGAGAAGTGGGAATACGCTCAGTATTGAACAACAGCTAGAATTGATAAAGGATTTTAACCCTGAACAGGTTAAAAATGCTCTTTTCTCCATACCCAACTCAAAAAGCCCAGGCCCAGATGGTTTCAACAGTGGTTTCTTCAAAAAGAAGTGGAATACAGTGGGGGTAATCACAACGAGGGTAGTTCTAGATTTCTTCAAGGATGGGGCCACCTTAAAGCAAATCAATGCAACCTGCTTGACTCTTATCCCAAAAGTGGAAAACCCCTCAAAACCAACAGATTACAGGCCTATATCTTGCTTCAATACAGTCTACAAGGTAATTTCCAAGTTGTTATGTTTTAGACTGAAAGCTGTACTACCTCACATTGTGGATCTTAACCAAGCAGCTTTCATTAAAGGGAGGGAACTCTTGCATAATATCCTACTTTGCAAAGAAATTGCAAAAGGATATAAGAGGAAAGGTATTTCTCCTAGGTGTATGATGAAAGTAGATATACAGAATGCATATAATTCTGTGAGTTGGAAAGCCATTAGGGGGATCCTACATAGCCTGAATTTTCCTGGGAAATTTATTTATTGGATTATGTTCTGTATCTCCACCCCCTCTTATACAATCCACATAAATGATGAACTGCATGGATATTTCAGAGGAGGAAAGGGACTTCGACAGGGGGATCCCATATCACCACTACTCTTTGTCCTTATAATGGAATACTTGACTAGGAGTCTTAGAGTAGCTGCCTTGAAATATAAGTTCTCTTATCATCCTATGTGTGCCAATCTCAAGATCATAAACCTGACCTTTGCTGATGATTTGATCGTGGTTTGCAAAGCAGACAATGAATCAATCAAATGTATCATGGAGGTCCTGGAGAGGTTCTATGCCACAACTGGACTGAAGATTAACAGAAACAAATCCTAGATAGTTTTTGGTGGGATCAACCAATCCAAGAAAATGGAGCTACTGAGGATCTCGGATATGAAGTTAGGAGAGTTTCCCTTTACTTACCTGGGTAGCCCAATTACCACAACCAGACTGAAGATTAAAGATTGTGATGCCCTGATCAACAAGATAACATCTAAAATTACAGCTTGGGGTTCAAGACATTTTTCTTATGCTTCTAGAGTTAGATTGATTAATTCTGTTTTGATGGGGGTGATTGACTTCTGGACTAGAATTTTCATTCTACCTAAGGGGGTAATAAATAGAATAATGACCTTATGCAGGAATTTTTTATGGGGAGGATCTGCTGAGTTTAAAAGAGTCCCACTGGTTCATTGGGATGAAGTACGCCAGATGAAGAAACATGGAGGCCTGGGGCTTAGAAACATACTGCATTGGAATTATTCTGCCATCATGAAGCTAAACTGGGATATAGCGGAGAAAAAAGATATCTTGTGGGTAAAATGGATACACACTAGGTACATCAAAGGGGGTGATGTTTGGAATTATGTACCTAGGCCTGACTCTTGCCAATACTAGAAGGAAATGGTGAGGGTAAGAAAGAAATTTATAGATATGCCAAGATCAGGGAAGTTTGAGATCAAAGCGGGTTACGGTTGGCTGAAGGGAGAGAAACCAAAGCCCATCTGGAGTGACTGGGTTTGGAACAAACTCACACCACCTAAAGTTCAATACATTTTCTGGCTATTCTGGAAAGATAGAATCCAAACAAAAGACAGGATCTCTAAGTTTATTACCATCAATACAAACTGTGCTCTATGTGAGGGGGAGACTGAAACCAAATAGCATCTGTTTTGGGATTGTGAGGTGAAAAAGCAAATCTATGATAAAGTTTGGGAAGTGTTCAACATGAGAATTACATCTGTGAAGGTGGAAGATGTTGGGAGAGAAATACACAGAGCAAAGAAGGGGAGAACCAAGAGGCTCTGGATAGCTATTTGGGCGACCTGTGTATACTACATATGGAGAGCAATGAATGAAGTCCTACACCAAAAAAGAAGGAAGATTGAAGATATTATTGGGCACACCATTTTCCATATTAAGAAATATATTGTATTTAGGGGTATGAAATAAATGTATGTATGGAACAATTTTGTTTTGCTAATGAAAGGTGTGTTTTACAATGCAAAAAAAAAAATACTACCTTCATGACTTAGTAGACAACGTTGGCGATGTAGAATGCCATCTGCCATGAATTCCCAGCATTGCTCCCAAACATATTTTGGTCTTGACATTGATTCATTTGTGAGAAGTGTTACGAATAAAAATCTCAGTTGATTGGCAGAACACCACTCACTGGCTTCTTTGAATCCATCAATGTACTCCCTATCATCATCTAGCAATCCCAAAGAATCACATGCATCACGATAACTACTGTGAACAACATCATTGACAGTTTTCAAATCTTCGTATGATGTAGGTCCTCGGACTATGTTCAATAGTATTCTCATATAATAAGATTCTCCTGAACCTGGAGGAACATAGATAACACGGTCTATGGCAAAACCTCTAAGGCGAGGTTCGTACTCTCTTTTAGATGGCTTCCAAACAAATTTCTGAGGGAACTCAGCATATGTTAAATTCTTTGCCAAGGGATATTTTTCATTTGCTTTCATCCAAGCAAGAAATTTACTCTCGCGTATGCTCTCTCGAGTGTATACATCACCTGCATCATCTTGATCTTCAAAAAACTCCATTGCTCACATGGTAAGTGAAATCTCAAGCGTTCAACAGTTGGGGATTTATATTGAATAGAGAATCCAAATATTTGCCAAGTCGATTCACAGGGTGATATATATATCTTCAATCGTAATACAATTTAATCTCATTTGGCGTTTTTGCACTTGTTTTGCCAGATGCTTCCGTGCTGGCATAAAATCGACCCGTTACACGATCGTGCCCATTGTTGATATACTTGAATAAGTATTTGATACAACGCGATTTATTGCACCATTCTACATTTAGGTGAGCACCATACTTAAGCAAGAGATATCTATTATGTGGCACTACGAACCTATTATCAAATTCCACACCGTTCTTTAATACTGTTCGACCATCATTTCTTCTCCTATATTTAGGATATCCTTCCTAGTCAATGTTTGTTTCCTCGTTGAATAATTTTGGAAAATATTTGGAGCACTTCCCATCTTTCATGCAAGGAGATTTTGGGCCATTGGTTCCGCATGGTCCGTGAATCATAAAATATCGAACTGCATTAAAGTATCTTGGATCACTAACTCCATCTGGCAACTCCGCTGAAATGATTTGATCAATATCTTTAGGCGTGAGAAATTAATCTTCTTGCCCCAAAAACAATAAAATGTGGGCGTGCGGCAGACCACGTTTTTGGAATTCAACAGTGTAAACAACTACCATAGAAATAGTAATATATATATCGGTGAGGATATGGCTCATTAGATAATTGGATTCACCTAATTTATATCAAATAGTATTGAAGGTAGATAAAGGAACACTTACTTGCTCTAATATGTCCAAAAATTTCATTCTTCTTTAAATCTCGTATCAACCTCGACCTCCTCTACATCAAGAAGGCTCATTATCACCCCTTTCTTGTTCGAGCTTTGTACTCGAACTTGAAAAAGGATGAGGACGGAGCATTGATCTCTAACGTCAACGGGGTGGACATTTATTTGAATGAGGAAAACATTCAAATCCTCACCGGGCTTTGTTGGGACGGACAGGATCTCGGGCTCTACATTAGAGAAGAAGGAGCGCGGTTCAATGAGACCGCTCTCTTGGAGGAAGTGGGCATCTGACACTTCGTCCCCACTCCCCAACAGCGGCGCCCTACGATTGCTTCCATGAGTCCCGTGTTTCGATTCATTTTTTATGTTTTGACACGGATTCTCAAGCCTAGGAAGTTCAATCACACCACTCTCTCCCAGGAGGACACGAAGACAATTCATGCGATGATTCACAATGCCAATCTCAATTGGTGTAAATTTGTGATGACTCACATGTTCACCGCCACCTCCGACAACCGGCCGCTCCGATGTTGGGCCAAAGATAAAGGGGACAAAGCATTGGGAGATTGATGAATCCTCTTTCCACTCGGGCACCGACGAGACTCCGTTTCGACAGCCTTGTCCACGCTGCCAACCGAGAGCCACTGCCTCAACCGCCACCACTCCGACCAATCCTTCTCTCGCCGAGCAAATGGCAGCCTTGACCGCCACTCTCTCTCGGATTGACACCAACGTCTCCCAAACGGCCCAAAATGTAAATATTTTGAGCCGAGAGCTTCACGGGTACTTTGACTTTGTCAATTACGCTTACGCTCAAATGGTCCCCTACGCTCCTCCACCGAATGTCGGGGGTGCACCAAGCGGGACTAATAACGTTGGGGAGATGAAGAGGTGGACGATGAGGAAGAGGAAGAAGAAGAGAAAGAAGAAGCCGAAGATGATGATGAAGATGAAGATGATGAAAAAGAAGACATTGACGAAGACCAACTTCTCAATGATCTTTCACCAGATTTCTAGAGCTCTAGCTCTACTTTCTTCTCTTCCTTATTTTATCATCCTTTAATATGCTTTCGTTATGTACTCCGCTATTTCCCTTAATTAATTAATAAAAATCTTTATGATTTTTGTTGTTAACAATCTTTTTGTTAATGTCAAAAGGGGGAAGATAAGGGCTATGCATATATTAAGGGGTAATTTGTTTAAGATCAAAACCCTATGCATATCCCCGTCTTGTTTGCCATTATCAAAAAGGGGGAAATTGTTGGAACACACTTTGTACGATAAACTAAAGTCGTGTTCATTTCTGACAGGTTTTGATAATTGCCAAACCGCCGTGGATAATGAAGAGTTTCGTTGAATAACTCAAGGCATGAAGAATGGCTTGGAACAAGACCAAAAAGACTCAAGGACAAGATCAAGAATTGAAGACTTAGTCGAGTCGGTCTTTTGTGATCAAAACCGACAATAAATTCAAGTCTCGGTTCTCAAAGAGTCAAAACAATTTTTACAAATCATAAAATATTTTTTGTGCATCAAAACAAACATTTTTGATGATTTCTTTTATTGTTAAAATCCCTGGTCCTTGCTCAGAACCGAAACCACCTAAGTCGGCGTTCGGCGTTCGGTTTTTGGCGCCCGAACCAACTCCGTGGTTTTCAATATTTTAAACCCTGTTTTTACCTCTGAGCATTTTTAAAATGTTCCCAAATAATTATTTTATAAAAACCACTTTTGTATCTTGGTCAATCGGTCTAAGACGTGAAAACGGTCAAAACCGTACGCACGTATTGTACGACCTTGGAGACTTGGTTTTTACCAAACAAGTCTTGTTTTCACTATTTTATACCATATACAATATTTTTCAAACCTGGTTTTTACTTTTGGGAACACTTCGTTTTTGGACCTCGGTTTTTCAAAACGAGTTTCAGCTGGCTAGACTTTAGCTGAGTGATAATCGATTATCACCTTAGTGACAATCGACTATCAGCCCCTGCAGCTTTGAACTTCCAAAGTTCTGAAGCACGCAATAATCGATTATCACTTATGCAATAATTGATTATCAGTCTTTGCAGCCAAAACCCAGATTCTTCGGAGAGGACCAATAATCAATTATCACTTGTTGACAATCGATTGTCTGGGTTACCGTTGTCTTCCAACGGATAGAATTTTAAATTTTTGGAAAAGGAATCTTTTGATAATCGATTATCAGGCTTGGATAATCGACTATCAGCCTGCGTCCCTGAAAAATTTGTCTTCATCCTGTTGGAAACTCCAGCAACGGGTTTATCCCATTTTGGGCTATAAAATGGCACCCAAATCCTCTCATTTTACACACAATTCTTCAACATTTCAATACTCTTTCATTGCATAATCATTCCTAATTTTCTTAGCTATTTGAGAGCCAATTCTTGAAGAAATTGTCGTGTTCTTGAGCATTTACTAGTTCACTCATATCTACTCTTTGTGACAGTTTTATTCCTGAGTGTTTAAGTGTTTTCATACACTTTAAGGGAGGTTGTTCCCTTGTTGTAAACTCGAAGGAAGTTCCTTGTTCCTTCGTGAGAAGTCGTGGAGTGCGGTATCTCCGAGCAAAGGTGTTGAGGCTCGTGTGACTCGGGTTCTCAAGTTGTATCGGTTTGTTAAGCACCCTTAAGCTTAACGGAGTTAGTGTAGCTCGAGAGAGTCTCTCGGGGGGCTGGATTAGCCACACGTTGTGGTGAACCAGGATAAAATTCGGTGTGCTCCTTCCTTACGCTCTTTACTTTAACGCTCTCGTTTTTAATTTCCTGCGATTTTGTTTTAAACGCTATTCAC